ATAAAAGATGTCTGCTCCTGCATATTTCTCATGTACCTGCTATAATGTCAGGAAACTGCCAAAAATACCACAACGCAACACGTTATGTCCACTGCAGCAATGACAGGAGCAATATTCCCTGATGAATATTGTTTATGTATTCAGAAGATTACTCAGTAATGACAGTGGTCTGATAATGACACTAAACAGATAATTAGCAGGTGATTTACTGGACGACTGACTGAAGCTAAACACTGATTATGGTGCAGGGATTTCATTTTTATCTAATAATTATATGTACTTCTTAGGTCATCCCATTATTTTATTTACAAAGAAGTAATCTGGAAGGCTGGAACTGTGTATTATTTCACGTGTATCTGTCACTCTCTCTAGACTGTTTTAGATCATAGAAAGTCTTTGTGTTTCCATAAACATTTGATTAAGGAAACCGCACATTAAGTGATTGTCATCTGTGGTTCTTTAACCCATTAGATTAAATATGATGACTCCGTGTTTAGCTCAGTCAGGTGTGGCCAATTGAAATATGGTCCACACCTGGTCAAAAGATATTCTCTGTTATTTATGCGAGCTGGTGGTTGATTTGAATATTATGAGCCGGCTGTTTAGGACAGATAAAAAAAGTGCTGGCACTGCAGAAGCCAACAATTGTACTTCTGTATAAACTGTACTAAACCTGGTGTGGGCCTATACAGTGCTCAGCATATATGAGTACACCCCATTTTGAAAATATTTGTATACATTTCTCTGAGAATATGGGTAATGTATATTGCTGCATTTAAACAAAGCAGATTTATTAAATAGATATATTTATTAATATAATATTTTAGTCACCGAACATCTGTAGAAATGGAAAACTAATTAATTTAAATTCATGCAAAATTTTGCAAAACAAAACTACAAACCACAACATTTCAACAAAATTGTATATATTTTTTGTTTCTCTTGATTTTTACTTTTTTTGAAAATTTTATTTTATATTTTTACCTAACATATAAATTTGGGCTATTCATTTTTAAACCATTATTGTAAATAATTTTGTTAGATAAGCTCCAGATTTGGCTTTATTACAGACTAAACTAATGTATATACACAAATATAATATTTTAAAGCATCCTATAGAAAATATGAATCTAAAGTAGAGATTTGTGGGGGTGTACTCAAATATGCTGAGCACTGTATGTGGGTATGTATGCATGTGTATGTGTGTGTATATATTATCACTTTATATATTATTTAATACAAATAAAAATGTACGGCGGTTCATTCCGCTGTGGCGACCCAGATTAATAAAGGGACTAAGCCGAAAAGAAAATGAATGAATGGATGATAAAAAACATCTTGAAATTAAATCTTTTATAAAACAAACTGTATTTTTATACACAAGAAAGATGTCCGCGGCTGCACATTTAACATTTATTTCTACACATTATATTATTATATACAGGCCCGTAGCCAGTAAAAGGGGTGGTTCTTTATTATTATTTTTTTGTTTTGTTTTTGAAGTTATTCACCTCATTTTCTATTATGATGTATAACCATAATGCATTTAGTTACATTTTAAGCAATATTTTTGGCTGGATTAGCTTGTCGGATGGTAAATTTTTGATGTACCGAAAATATTTTTTAAAGATTTGAAATAAAGAAATATGAAAATAATTTATATTCTTTTAAATACAAAGTTATTAAATCATGTACCATTAGGAAAATGTAGCTTGTTGTCATTTATTAGACAAATACCAAACTGGCCAACACATTCAGCTTTCCTCAGTCAGAATTTGGCCATTATACATAATAATAATAATAATAATAATAATATTAATAATATAGAGCAGGGGTGTCTAAACTTGGTCCAGGAGGGCAAGTGTCCTGCAGTTTAGCTCCAACTTCATTTAAAACACCTGCCTGAGGTTTCTATTAAACCTAGAAAGAGCTTGATTAGCTGATTCAGGTGTGCTTAATTGGGGTTGGAACCAAAATTTGCAGGACACCGGCCCTCCAGGACCGAGTTTGAACATCCCTGATTTAGAGCTTCATAATTTTTTATAGCCTGTTTCGAAAAATTAGAAAATTCATGGATAACAGCAGCCTAATACTTTTAAAAATTGCTATAATATGGGCCGCTTTTGGTGCTTCGGACCATTACATTGGTCAATTTTTTCTTTCATGAATAAGTTTCAAAAATAGAAGTTAGGCTACTTGTAAAATGTTTTTTTCTATTTAACAATAAGTCACTGGCGAAAGATGACTTCACTTACGTCATATTCTGCGTGGTCTTAAAACATTTGATGGGTTATTTGCACAATTTATGATGGCATGGCAATCAAAATAGGACAAATGAGAAAAAATAGTGACAAAAATTCTTGACCAATGGCAAATTCTGGACGTTTGTGAGTGGGGGTAGGTTTTTCGAGCCACCCGAACCCCCCATGTCTACGGGCCCGATATATACACTATCTCTGAGACCATACAGTAAGTGAGAATAATAATAACAATATCAATAATGAAATAATCAATAACAATAAAAACAAATGAGCACAAAAATGTCAAATTAAAAATATATGTGTGCTTATTTCAATATTTTGTTTTGTTTTTGCCCAAAAGTACAGTTACATAGCTAAATAAAGAAATGTGTGTAGCATTTTAATATATTTAGGAAACAAACAGCTTGAAACCACCTTTTAAAATAGAGGTCAGATCATTTTACAGGTCATTTCACAATGTCATTTCGAAACCATAGCGAAACCAATGTGATTTATTGTATTTTTTTTTTAAATACACAACTTTGTCTTTGGATCTGTGAAAGAAGTCCACAAATATGTGGGAGATGAACTTACAGGCATGTTTATCCGAAGCGATATCCTCTTTCTTGTATTTTTCTTCTCATCTTTTTTCTTAGAATCCATTGCAGTGCTGCCCATTTCCCAAAATAATGGTTTTGTTCTTTGGCAAAGGCTTATTTAACGCTGGAAACCAGAATAAAAGCCATCGCTCCAGCATATGAGAGCAACAGAAATATAATCGGCTACTTAAGTTAATAGTATATTTCTCGATTCCTACGGCTTTTCCTTCGGTTTCAGAAAAACAAACACGTGCGCCCTCGGTGTAAAAACAAACTTGCATGCGCGGATCAGCAGAGATGAAGGGAATGAGATGCTCTGCTGCTGCTGTGCGTGTGTGTGGAGCATCAGTGCTCGCGCACGCGTGTGTGTGGAGGAAAACCGCGCTGCATCCAGCCATCAGTCAAGTGACGTTGCGTTTGGGGGCGGGACTACAATGCACGTTCAGTTACTACGGTTACAAGTGATGATTCCGCAGATTAAAGAAATAGTCTTTGTTTATGTGTGTTTCGTGTGAGCATTATATATTAAACCTTTATTGATCCTCCTTCGACTTAGTCCATTTATTTATCAGGGGTCGCTACCGCGGAACGAACCGCCAACTTCCACCATATTCATCAATTAACCTATAGCGCATGTCTTTGGACTTGTGGGGGGGAAACAGAGCACCCGGAGGAAACCCAAGCCAAAACGAGGAGAAGATGCAAAATAGTTTAATCGTTTTTTCGAACAATTAAAATAATTGAAAAAAAATGTCATGCAAACTCCACACAGAAATGCCAACTGACCCAACCCGGACTCGAGCCAGCGACCTTTTTGCAGTAAGGTGAGAGTGCTAAGTTAACCGCTAAGCCACCGTGTCACCCTTCAACATATTCAGAAAAAATATATTAATAATGGAATAATAATGATAATAATGGGGAAACTATTAAACAGAACAAGCTACTAAAAATGTTAGCAAATAATTATGAAACTTGTATTATCAAACTTGTTTTAATCCACAAATATTTAATTAACATACAAATAATTAATTCATATATGATTTATGGCTAATTGCTGTAATAATTATGTTTTTAGAATATGAAGTGACAATTCCATGTGACAACTATTAAAACACAAAAAGGCCTGTTTTTTACTGTTTGTCATTAAAACAGAATCTGTCAATTCTTTTACTGTAGGTATACTATTAAAACACAGGAAAAAGTCTACTTTTATACAAAAGTATACCATTAAAATAAAATATAAATAAAAATTTAAACATATACATTTTAATATAAAAACCCTTGTATTGATTAAAAATGTTTCATGTTTTTACAGTAGTTTTACAGTAGTTTTACCTAATTTAATGTTGTAGTTTGTGTGGAGTTTGCATGTTCTCCCTGCCTTCGCGTGGGTTTCCTCCGGGTGCCTCAGTTTCCCCCACAGTCCAAAGACATGCGGTACAGGTGAATTGGGTAGGCCAAATTGTCTGTAGTGTATGAGTGTCTGTGTGGATGTTTCCCAGAGATGGGTTGCGGCAGAAATAAGGGCATATACGCTTCGTAAAAACTTGCTGGATAAGTTGGCGGTTCATTCCGCTGTGGCGACCCCGGATTAATAAAGGGACTAAACCAACAAGAGAATGAATGAATATTTTGCATGAATTTAAATGTAATAACTTTTCATCTCTAAAGATGTTCTGTGACTAAAATATGATATTAATAAATATATCTGTTTAATAAATCTGTTTTGTCCAAATGCACTAATAAATATTACCCATATTCACTGAGAAATTGATAAAAAATATTTTCAAAATGGAGTGTACTCATATATGCTGAGCAGCACTGTATATTTTTACAACAAAAAGTGCTTTCATGGAATCCTTAACCATGCTCACACTGCCCTCTTGTGTTCAACCCTTTTTGGCCAGTAGAGTTCGCTATACACTCATGTTTACATAAAGATACACAAATACTTTTAAAAGTTTAACTAGCCTAAAAATTAAAGAGCTCGGCTACGTTACAGCCTCACATTTGAAAACTTCACAGTCTCAAACAAGGTCCAACCCAGAATCAACAAGTTATTCACTATGGTCCTTAACACACAATATCCCGGATCCCGTTCCAACGCGACAGAATATATTCCCGAAAACGCTTCAGTTGAATTGCTGAAGGTGTTTTTTTGTTGTTGTTTATACACACACCACTGGACCCATACGTTGATACCGGACGCTTCTCGGGGCCCAGGTCCGGATCTGGGCCCTCAGTAATCAGATCTGTGGGTGGTTCTTCCTCTTCTCCGCCGGCTGTTGCTTCTGTCTTAGTTTAACAAAAACACGGACGCTGTAATAAAGGATCAAATTTGATGCCATCAAATTTGTTTACGCCATCTTGACGCACAAACTTGTCAATTAATAGTTTTATACTGGACGAATAAAGATGGACTTTAACGTGAAGAGATTTGCAGCAGACGCTGGTACTTTATTCAGTCGGGCGGTGCAAGTAAGTGACCTATATTCGCTGTACAAATGCGTGAAGCGGTAAAATAAGTTTTATTTAAACAAATTGACCCTAAACACATGCATTTTCTGACATAAAAACGATTTAGGATATATTTTTCGCATGGTTTATGTCTTTCTCGCTCATGGCCTTTCTCTTTGGAGCTGCAAATCTGTTTTGCTCATTAACTTTAACGTTACATTAAATTGTCTGGTTTCTCAAATGTAACCGCAAAACCAAGTTTTAAAGGACGTTAGACGTATTTTCTTTGCAATGTGGTCGAAGTACGTTACATGTATAAATACTGACATGTTCACTTTCCAGATTGAGTTTGTGCGGCTAACGCTAACAGGCTAAAGTAGAGTTTAATCCGACAGAGCTCAGCATATTTACACACTAAGGCCGTGTCCTAAAACCTGCTGAGCTGTCTAAGTAGACAACATTTGTAGCCACATCATAAAGATGGACCTATTTCTGTTAATAAGAATATTCACGTGCCTATGTTTACTAGGGTTTGAGACACAAAACATATTGTGTCTGTCCAGTCTTTATAGTGAAGCCTGGCTGACTGTGTATAACGTTATTGTTGAAGTAAAATTTTGAGATTACATTATTGATTAAACACCTTTCATTAAATATGTCGAGAATACGTTGAAACATTTATTTCAATACATAGCTATGTCATGGTGTTTGACATATGAAAACAATGGTCACTATTGTTTGAGTTTACTTTGGTTTTTAGATATTTGTAGCAGTAATATGGCCAAAGATTTACTCCCCACACTTATAAAATGTCTGTTGTCTTCACAAACAGTTCACAGAAGAAAAATTCGGTCAGGCTGAGAAGACAGAACTGGACGCACATTTGGAGACCCTCCTCACGAGAGCTGAATGCACTAAACACTGGACAGAGAAGATTTTAAAGCAAACAGAAGTGCTACTGCAGCCAAACCCAAGTAAGCTTAGTTGGACATCTGTATCTGATAAGTCATTAATTTTAAACAATTAAAAGATTTCTAAGGAGTTGTAGTTAATTGTGTCGGTTTTCACAACTTTCTGTACAATTCAATAGAAGTATTATTATTTTATCGAAAGGTTTGACTTTCTAACTAAACGGTTATTTATTTAGTCTGTATAACTAACTATAGTAGTTCACTCTGTACAGAGCCTCATTGTGGTATCGAATATAGTTAGTGAAACACTAAATATGCGATTCACATTATAGAGCTGATATTTCACATAAGTTTGTAATGTTGTTGTTAATATCTACATTTAGATGCCAGAATAGAAGAACTATTGTATGAAAAACTCGACAAGAAGGCCCCACCACGGATGAACAACCATGAGCTTATGGGTCAGTCTATGATCGACTCTGGGAATGAATTTGGGCCTGGAACAGCCTATGGTAAGCAAAGTGCCCCAAGTACACATAGTAGAAGTGCATTGTCATTTCTCTTAAACTTCAACCCAAGCTTAAGTACACTGTATGGTCTCACAGTTTGCTTAAATATTTACTCTGTTGATCAATTAATCCTAATGATACTGATTTGGTCCATTTCTGTTCAAAGGAAATGCTCTGATAAAGTGTGGCGAGACAGAAAAGCAGATTGGAGGAGCGGAGCGAGAGTTCATTCAGACCTCTGCCATTAATTTTCTCACGCCTTTCCGCAACTTTCTAGAAGGAGACTTCAAGACTATATTGGTGAGATCAGGCAGCCACAAGAATTGGCGAAACATCGATTTCTAAAACTTCCGGAAACATTACTAGATGTTTAATACTGTTTAGTATTGTTTTTAACCTTTGTGTGCTGTAATATCCTATCCTTTTATTATATTCGTGGCCCCATTGACTTCAATTATAATGCCATTTTTTTGTAGCAAAGCCATGACAGCATATAATCATGCATTCTTGATGTTGGTGGTTTTCCCTGTTGGGAAGAGGTAAAATGTGTCATTTTTTTACTGTTGTGTTTTGTTAAAAACTGTGTCAAAATAAGATTTATCATCAAAAATAATTCAATTTGCTGAATACAGAGAAAGTTGTGGCCAAATTAAGACTTAAAATCACCCCAGTGGATGAAAACATCCCCAACAGCACATAAGGGTCAAGTTCAAACACTTAACAAAAACTGCCTTCTTTCATCTCCACAATATTGCACAGATTAGGCCATTTCTCTCACGACCTGATGCGGAGAGGCTTATCTATGCCTTTATCACATCACGTCTTAATTTTTGTAATTCACTTTTTGGGGGTTCACCTACAAGTCCTCTCAGTAGATTACAGTGTATTCAAAATTCCCCTGCACGGGTTTTGACACACACATCATCACACCACTATATTACTCCTGTACTTCAACAACTACACCGGCTTCCTTTTAAGTCACCGATTGATTTTAAGACCTTGATTTTAACCGTCAAACAGTACATGGGCTAGCACCTGGTTATATTTGTGACCTGGTGACTCTCGCCACTTCAGCCCGCAGTCTTCGTTCGGCATCAAGATTTACCCTGTATCAGCCGCGCTGTAAACTCAAGACCATGGGTGGTAGGTTGTTCTCATACAGTGTGCCCAAGCTGTGAAATGATCTACCCAACAGCATTAGGAATGCCACTTTTCTGGACTGTTTTAAGAAACTTCTTAAGACTCATCTTTTTAGCATTGCTTTTGACTTAGGATGACCATTTTGTTACCTTTTTTATTTTATCTTATTGTTGATATTCTTATTGTTTTATTGCATCTTTTTTATTCATGTGCTGTTTCTGCTATTGTTGGTATTTTGCCTTGTATTGTTAGTATTTTGACTTGTGCTTTTAGTCTAAGAAAAGCGCTTTACAAATAAAATGTATTATTATTATTATTATTATTATTATTAAGTTGCTTTTTCAATCACCACGATTCATGCAATGTAAATATAAAAGGTGTTCATTTTGGATCTTTTTTTCGCAAGTCTGCAACTTGCTGATGGAAAAGAATTACACAGCTTTGACATCTCATAATCTACCTCAAACTTAAGCAGAAACATAGAAACTGAGATATGTTCTGCCCAAGTCGTGTTTGTGGTTAAAGTTTGGGGTTTAGTGTAATAAATGTGATGTTTTGATCACAATTTCAAATCTATTAATTAAATTATTTTTATTATAAGTAAAAAAACTAAACTAAACATTTTGAAATCTGAACAATTCTAAACAAAAGAAATGCTGTTTGTCAGTCTTAAAGTATATGTAAGATGTATATAAGTAAGATATATTTTGTTAAGGTCAGTTTTTAATATCAGAAATTCGAGTTTAACAAACTAATTGCATCTACTTCTTTACAGAAAGAGCGCAAACTGCTTCAGAACAAACGATTGGACCTTGATGCGGCAAAGACCAAGCTAAAGAAAGCAAAAATGGCTGATGCCAGAGCTGTGGTGAGTTAAAATTGTATTTTTCCCCTTAACAATGACACATTGCTGCCAGATTTCATTTTTACAAATGTAAACTACATCCTAGATGATGTGTTTTCAAAGTAGGGGCCACAAGAGAGTGCTAGGGGTCTGTATAAAAGCATGAAAATATTAATATAAATGTAAAACTAATATTTAAAAAAGATACAAAAATAAATGCAGATTTTATTTATGTAAAAAGTAACATGGTAGTTTTAAATAAAAACAGAGTGTTTGTGCATACTTAAAGTCTTAAATGCCACAGTATAACATATAATAATATTTAAAATGTCTTAAATCGGCGTTTACAAAACAAAATTACAATTTTTTTTTACCAGAACAAGATCAATCTAAATCAGAAGGCATGTATCTATTCAGCTTATTCTCCGCGTATGAGCGAGCGCATCTATTTGATTCTTTTTAGCTCTCATTCACTTCCATTAATTTTTAGAACCTATTTCTTTATAATATGAAATGAGTGATATATAATATAATCTTTTACAACATAAATTGACACTATAAAAGAAACATATTTTTACATTGTAGGATGTTGATCTTTTGCACAATCATTTTTATAGGTCTATGCCAACAACAAACAAACAAAAAACCCTTAGCAAGCATATTAATTAAACATGACGCTTGCCATCTTTTTTTAAATCCATCTCTTTACTGTCTCTTGTTTTTGTGCTGACACACGACAGCCTCTCAGATCTACCCCTCCACCAGGAGATGTTGGTTATGTTGCCAACGTCTCCTTCATGGTGAATTTTCTCCATGTGAAGTGGCTTAAGGTTGGTTTGTGTGTCTTTCACCCCAGTGCCAAGTTCCACTCTTCTTCTGTAAAAGAGCCACCTTTAAGATATGCTAGTTCCTCTTTAAGCTGTTGATTAAGCTCTTTTGTCCCGGATATTAGCAGCGCGTGTGTTCCCAGGTTCCTTTTTTGTTGTGCATATAGAGTTCGGAAAGAGGATATCCATGTTTGCTCAACATCGTGATGACATTTCAAAACTGATCTGCGCACTTGCTCACAGTTTCACAAGAGAAGTAAAGAAGTGCTTCAAGATTGTCTCCTCATGACAAGCACTCAACCTACACACACACACATACACACACAACAGTGAATTGTGAGGACAATCCATAGGCATAATGGTTTTATACTATGATTTTATCGGCCTGTACACCTAACCCTTTTTAATTTTAAAAAATTGTATTTGTAAGCCTTTTTAAGTCCTCATAAGTTTGTGAATTGTGAGGATATTCCATGGGCATAATAGTTTTTATATTGTATTTTCTATAGTCTTATACGTAACCTTTTTATGTTCTCAAAAAACAAATTCTGTATTTATAAGCCTTCTTAAGTTCTCATAAGTCATTCTCCTTGTAATACCTATGCAATACCCTTATCATTTTAGACATTTGAGTTCTTTTATGTCACACAAACACACACAGCACCCAAACAAACAATTGGCCTCTTCCAAAACAGGAAACATGACAGTTTGCTCAGATTTTCTGTGAAGTGAGCAAGCAATTCTTAGTCGATTGCTGCAGATAGTCTTTCCTACAACTGTTTTGTTGCAAATCAAATTGTTAAAAATATGCAGAACTCAGCAGTTTTCAATATTTTGTGATTCATGTTTGTTTGTTTTTTCCATTTGTTTATTATTTTCCATTTATTTATATTTATTTATTTTGAATTGCATTATGGGACCTTGATCTTTCCTCCAAAAACTTTGATATTGAAAATTTTAAAAAACGCTTATTGACATGTTTTATTATTGACATTTTAATAGTTGGCGACGCAGTGGTGCAGTTGGTAGTGCTGTCGCCTCACAGCAAGAAGGTCACTGGTTCGAGCCTCAGCTAGGTCAGTTGGCGTTTCTCTGTGGAGTTTGCATGTTGTCCCTGCATTCGCGTGGGTTTCCTCCGGGTGCTCCGGTTTCCCCCACAGTCTAAAGACATGTGGTACAGGTGAATTGGGTTGGCTAAATTGTCCATAGTGTACGAGTGTGAGTGTATGTTTCTCAGAGATGGGTTGCGCCTGGAAGGGCATTCGCTGCGTAAAAACATGCTGGATAAGTTGGCGGTTCATTCTGCTGTGGCGACCACGGATTAATAAAGGGACTAAGCCGACAAGAAAATGAATGAATAAATGAAATGTAATAGTTTGATATATTGTCAGTATTGGCGTCGTAAATTAACTGCCTGTAATCTTCCTGTTAATTTAAGGACTTATTTCTTAATGTGTTGTATATTGTACAAAAATTTTAAGTACTAAAATGTAGTACTTTGTTTAATTGCAGAGTTGAATTTTTAACATCAAATGTCAACAGAGCAGAGATCAAGGAAAGGTTCCCACATTTCTTGAAAGTACTTGAAAATACTTGAATTTCAGGCGTTTGGATTTAAGGCCTAAAAGTACTTAAAAACAAACATAGATGCTTGATTTAAATTTAAAATCAAATTAGTTTGCTGCTGTCAAAAACAAAACAAATTATTAATTTAAAAAAACTTTCATATTACATGAACTATGACAAATAATGCAGTTTAAAAAAAATAAAAAGCTGCATTTGAATATTACCAGTTTTTAATTCAACACATTTCATCAGTTCTTTAAACATGGTTGTTTAAAACGGTCAAAATCTTTGAAAATGACTTTCAAAACATCCCAAATACTCTGACATTTTATGTAAATGTTGGTTAATTAAAATGTTAAGTACAGTTAAAGCACTTTCATAATGCTTTATATGCTGCCAGTGTGAATTAAAAAAAGGTGCTTGATTTGAAATTAATGGTGCTTTAAAAAGTCCTTAAATCTGCTGTTTTTTATAGAGTGGGATAGGGCTGCACAATATATAGTTTCAGCATCAATATCGAAATGTGATCATTCGCAAAAGTCCCATCCCATATGCAATTTTGAGTGAGACTATATATTATGATATTATAAGTTATTATTTTCGTGTGTTTTTGATGCCTGTGGCGGTTAAAAGCATCCATGGATAAGAAACTGTAGCTTTTGTAACTTTAATAAGGATTCATTTATTTAGTTGTTTTTATTTTTATTATTCGATTACTGTATCTGAATACTTTGTTTGTTGTTCTATTTTATTCAGATGCACTTCTCTATACAATCATCCCAATCAATCTAAAATAATAAATTCTTTCCAAATAGAGATAATCAAGTCATCTGGTGAAATGGTATTCATATCGAATTATATATCACAGAATCACAAAATATTGAAATGTTAGATTTTTCCAATATCGTGCAGCCCTAGAGTGGGAACTCTTTCAAGATCCCATAATGCAATTCATTTTTTTACAGTGTAGTTTATGACAAAATACCACATTTAATTATTGTTTCTATGATTAAACTGTGTTCATTTGATCAATTTAATGTTCAAAAGTCTAAATTACTCTGAAAAAAGGACGTTTGTTGATGTTTTGTATTTGTGCTTTTTTATAATTTTATTTTATAATTTCACAATAACAATGTTATTTATGGTAATTTGACAGAAACTTGGGTTAGCATGTTAAGTTCTCCCCTTTCTTAGTTGCTACCATTGTGGCTGTAGTCCAGTGTTTCTCAACCATGTTCCTGGAGGACCACAAACACTAACACTGCATGTCTCCTTTGTCTATCACATCCATTAAAGGTCTTTCAGACTTTGCTAATGAGCTGATGATCTGAATCAGGTGTCTTTGGTTACGGAGACATGTGCTGCATGCCAATTCACAGAATGTTCACCGTTTGCAGAATGCTCTAAAAGAATGCACTTTTTTGATTAGGGGAAAAGTATACACATTTGAGTGTGTTACAGAAGAGTATGCAAGCTTTGTGAAAAACTACCTCCTCGTTAATAGATTGATATGTTGCTTAGTTACGTCCCCTGTCAATCATCCCAACACATCATCCACATTTCTTTCATATTTGCCAACCTTATTGGATAAGCATCAGCGAGGACATCCTGGGAAAATCTGCCATTCGCGGGTCTTTCATCTAGAAATCTCAGGTGTTTGGGTAATTATGCATTCAGAAGTTAATTTTTAAACATATCTTGATTTAAGTTCACATTGTTGCAGATGAAATATAACATGGAAAACACTATTTAAATATTTTTCAGTTGGCTAGGTATTAATTAACAGTTCATACAAACATCTTTACCGAAGCCTCTCTACTTGACAGTTTGTCTCGCATGTCCACCACGTTTGTAGTTTATTTATGCTTTTTACCTGAGTTTTTTTTATAGTTCTAATTGAATTTTCATCCAATGCGCAATGTATGGAGGGTATCTGAGTATGTACAGTTCTACTCTTACTGGAAATTGTAAACCATCCAGGAACCTTTGGCATACTCTTTTCATCATGCTATGGTTTGGGACACACTAATTCTATTTTGGAATACTATTTAGGACTAGTATTCTAGATAGTATGTGAATTGGGTCACAGCAATGGCAAATGTGCAGAGCAGGTGGTTCTTCAGGAACGTGGTTGAGAAACACTGCTGTAGTCTATGTGGAGGTTTTAGTTGTGAAGCTAAGCCTCTATTGTTGCTGTTTTAAAATGCTGTGCAGATGTGGGCAGAGGAAGTGACAACGGTAAGCAAAATCTTTAGCTTTTTTTTTTTTTTGGAACTGCTGTCTGTGGAGTTCTATCTAAAGCAATGAACCAGAGACCATAGCCCCAACTGTTTCCACTGTTTTATTTTGGTGTGTCAATGCGTGATCAAAATATGCATTCGCTTCATAATCTCAGAAGAAGCAATCTAACATCCATCCATCCATCCAAAAAAAGAAAATCAGATTCATTTTGAGATTTTGCATTTCACATATCACAGGGTTAGAGATCCAACTTCTCCACGAAGGTGTTATCAATTATACAGAGCTTCCTTAATACCAAGTAGTTGGTTTTAAAAATATCCATTACAGACTTTGGGAGGATTTGTTTTCTCGATATAACTCGTCAATAACATCTGTATTAATATGCAGTGGCAATTTCCAATTTTATTATAGTTCTCAATTGCATTGTTTTCCTTGCCCTTTTTAGGTGCAGTCATTTTTACCCCAACAAGAAAAGTTCCTTTCAATTTGCTCAAGTGGTTCTAGATATTTATGAATTTCTTTCTTCTGCTGAATACAAAACAAGATATTCTGAAGAAAATTGGAAACCAGAAGCCATCTGCATCCATGAAAAGAGCAAAAAAATAATATGAAAACCAATGGCTGTTTTTTTTTCAGTATATCTTCCTTTGTGTTCAACAGAAGAGAGGAAACTCAAACAGGTTTGGAACTAGTGGAGGATGAATGTCATTTAGGTAAACTATCCCTTTATATTTAAATAAGTCCTGACTCTCGTTCTCTTTCTTTCAGGCCGAGCAGGATCTGAAGATGACACAGAGTGAGTTCGACAGACAGGCGGAAATCACCAGGCTTCTTCTGGAAGGAATTAGCAGTACACATGTGAGTGCCTGCCAGTCCAGATTTACTACACAATCCCAGTGTCTGACCTACAACAAGGCTGATCTCTCTTTCTGTCCCAGGCACATCATCTCCGATGTCTTAATGACTTTGTGGAGGCTCAGATGACATATTACGCCCAGTGTTACCAGTACATGGTCGACCTCCAAAAGCAGTTGGGAAAGTAAGATTTTTTCTTTATGGACTAAGATTATAAACGGATTAAACATAAAGCTCCTCTTTTTTTGTTTTTTGTAATCAGGTTAAAAAGAAATTTGTAATTAATGTAATTAAAAATCTATAAGCTAATATATTTGTTATGGGTTCCGAGTGTAAAGAATTACAGGGTTTCTGCGGGGTCTTAAAAAGGCTCAAATTTAAAATATTTTTGCACAGGTCTTACTTTTCTGATGTCCATGTACCGCTACATCTAATGCTCATTTCAATTCTTTTTTGTTGTTGTTGCTTGGTTTTCGTGGTGGTGTAGTGCTTTATTTCACTAGTCCAAATGTAATTTGCTGTATTACAACTACAAATGAGACCAACATGCAATACCCAATCAGCTTTCTGTTATTGGGGAATATGTTGTCATCGCTGTGTTTGCGGAGGTACTGATGGCCATTTTCTAGGCTTTAGGAATAGAATGTTGGACCATTATTGCATTTTTAGCTTAAAAGTAGAGGACAGAAACTAGCTAGACAGTAAGTTGTGAATTGTTGAGTGGGCAAAATAAAAAAATAAAAAACATCTGTATTTTTTAGTAAGTGTACTTTTTTGCTTTTCTTCTTGCCTTAATAAAAAATGTAATTGTAGAGCAACCCATGTTCTGTTGTCATTAATATTTAATTTTAATAGGTAGAACTGTCCGAGATAAGAACGAAAGCAAGTGATGCATCAAAGTTTGATTTAAAAACTCTTTGAATAAAAATCTTTATAATCATTATAATAAATTATAAAAATAAACAGTTAGTTTAGGAATCCTTAATGATATTAATGATATGACCTAGTTCTGGAAGCTTTTTACTTCTCGGTTTATCTGTCTGATTTTACTGTTTGTTTCTTTCGACCGCCCCTTGTTATTTAAAAGAATATCCCAATGGCGAACCCATCAAGTATAAAAGCCTCGTCCATTTTTTGAGGTGTGCGATGCGGCGCCAGGCGAAAGTATAAAACGTTTGTTTTTTTTTGTAGTTCAGTGGTGCGTCTAACCTGCATTTATTTTACCACTAGCTTTGTGATTTAGCATTTTCTCTTTATGAGTTTGCGTGTTTTTGATATTTTGATATGGGTCTTAAATTTAATACTTAATGGTCTTAAAAATGTCTTAAAAAGTCTTAAATTTGACTTTATGATATCTGCAGAAACTCTGAATTATCACTCATCTGTTTTACCCAAAATGTCTATATTGGTATATCCCTACTTACTGTTATTATTTATTTTTACTTCGCAGATGTTTTACATTCACATACAGTATTATTGCACACTACATGAAATGTCTTTTTGGAAAAAAAATCACACTTTATATTAAATGGCCTTTATAGTAATATTGCACCTGCATTGTGTAAATAATACTTGTTTTTACATTACATTTTACATTACACTATTACACTACACTATAGACCCATATCTTACACCCTAATCCAAACTTAATCTAAAAAAACGTGTACCTAACCTTACCCATATTCCATCACAATAGCACCATAAGTGCTGTGCAATACCACATGAACACTATAAGTATATTGTACTTTTTTTTTTTTTTTTGATGGAAGTACCTACTGTAGTAGTTAAGGCCACTTAATTTAAAGTGGTAATGAAAAAACCACTGGGGGCACTTAAACTCACCTTTACATTCTTCTCTCATGCAGCTTTCCTTCTGCTTTCACTTCCAACAATAACCAGTCCACGGCCAGCGGTGGAGCCGGTGTTTCTGTACCAATCCTGCCACTATCAACTCCTCTTCCCTCCACCACAAGCAACACGTCCTCAGGTTTCACCGAAATGCAGAACTTCAGCGGGAGCCGTAAAGCGCGAGTGCTGTACGATTACGATGCCGCCGGTAGCAATGAACTCTCTTTATTGGCCGATGAGGTTGGTGGTGCATTGACTTCTAATTAATTCCTACTAACAACATTAACCAATCATATATGCCTATTTACTACTAGTTATAGCATAATGTTAAGATGACTGAACATTTAAAAGGTATGCAGAAATAGTGTGACTAACCAAAATCATTTTCATGTATTCGATCAATCGGTGTTTCAGCAATGGAAAGGCATCTAGAAAACAAAGGCATATGAAAAAGCAATAAGCCCCAAGAAGCTGTTGTTCACAGTGAATTCATAACAGTTTCACAGGTTTTATTGCATTAATAAAACAATTATTCCATAAACATAACAATATGTCACAAAATAAAAAATAAGAAAGCAATTTACTTATTCAATTCTAGTTTATTTGTATAGCGCTTTTCACAATCATTATTGTTTCAAAGCAGCTTTACATTATTGCATTACTATCAAAATCAGATTAAAGTTAAGGTTATTAGTTATTATAACTTTATTAGTTACTACTAACTTTAACTCATTAACTAGTAACTAATAGCTGTTAAAGTCATTAAACAGTCATTTAACAGTTAAAGTCATTATATATAAACAAAGTAACCTGCAGTTATATAGTATGGTCTATGTGTACATAGAATAATAGTTACCAAGCAACAGTCAAGTGTATGTTTGTTGAGTAATGTCCAAGTCTTTTAAAGGCAAGTAATTTCATTCGGCGACCATCTTTGAAATGCTCCTTGGGCTTTCAAGTGCAGCTCTTATCTCTTTGAATGGGGAAATATCAAATTCTCTCAAAAAAGTTTGGCAATATTTTCATATTTGAAATCACCAATGAAATTTGAGAACGACTGTCAAAATTTAGTTTCTAAACATTCAAACATGACATAAAAAATAAACACATTTTAAAAAATCAGGTTGCCCAAGCTAATGTGAATTACACCATCCTTCCTAATAGCTGTTTCAGGAGGGCTCGGTCATTATCCTGTCAATCAAACTATGTTACTACCATAAGAATCAACAACATTAGGGTGTTTGTGGGCTCCTAATTTGTCTTAAATTTCAAAAACAAGATTTTAAGCCTTAAAAAGTCTTAAATTCACAGAAATAATCTGTTGTGGGTCATTTTAAATCATTTTAAACAGGTCGTAATTTTAAAATTTATCAGAAGTAAAGTTACCCAGTCGGCCCAACCAATCACCAACAATCCATCTAAACAATTTAATTTAACAATTTACACTCACCGGACACTTTATTAGGTACACCTTCTGCTACCTTTTGCCTTCAAAACTTCCTTAATCCTTCGTGGCATAGGTTTAACAAGGTACTGGAAATATTCCAAAGAGATTTTATTCCATATTGACATGATAGCATCACGCAGTTGCTGCAGATTTGTCTGCTGCACATCCATGATGCGAATCTCTCGTTTCACAACATCACAAAAGTGCTCTATTAGGTTGAGGCCATTTAAGTACAGTGAACTCATTGTCATGTTCAAGAAGCCAGTCTGAGATGATTTGTGCTTTATGACATGGTGCGTTATTCTGCTGGAAGTAGCTATCAGAAAATGTGTACATTTTTTTTTTTTTTTTTCAGTCTTGGATTTTGGTGAGCCTGTGCAAATTGTAGCCTCAGTTTCCTGTTTTTAGCTGACAGAAGCAGCACCTGGTGTGGTCTTCTGCTGCTGTAGCCCATCCGCCTCAAGGTTTGACCTGTTGTGTGTTCATAGATGCTCTTCTGCAGACCTCGGTTGCAACGAGTGGTTATTTGAGTTACTGTTGCCTTTCTATCAGCTCGAACCAGTCTGGCCATCTCCTCTGACCTCTGTCATCAACAAGACATTTGCGCCCACAGAAGTGCCGCTCACTGAATTTTTTTTTCTTTTTCAGACCATTCTCTGTTAACCCTAGAGATGGTTGTGCGGGAAAATCCCAGTAGATTAGCAGTTTCTGAAATACTCAGACCAGCCCGTCTGGCACCAACAACCATGCCACATTCAAAGTCCCTTAAATCCTCTTTCTTCCCCATTCTGATACACAGTTTGAACTGCAGCAGATCATCTTGACTATGTCTACATGCCTAAATGCATTGAGTTGCTGCCATGTGATTGGCTGATTAGAAATTTTAGTTAACCAGCAGTTGGACAGGTGTTCCTAATAAAGTGGCCGGTAAGTGTATTCCTGTATAAAGACGCGTTTGGAATGCATAATTGTCCGAAAAAGATATCTCTGCATGAAAAATTCTGTCTTAAATCTCCAGTAATGTAGGTCATTAAATATAAAAGAAATGTGGATGATGTGTCGAGATGATTGACGGGACGTAACTAACATAATGTCCATTGATGAAGAAGTAGTGTATCCCAAAGCTTGCATACTTTTGTTACACATCTCACAAGTACATACTTTTAGGACATTGTATGCGAATTGGAATGCAGCGATAGTCTTTGGCAGTTTATAACAGCTTCCAACACATCTCAACCCATAAGAACCAGAAGTGTGCGTTTTATAATGTTCTTTATTTTTGACTTTAACGTCTCTCTTTTCTTTCAGGTGATCATGGTGAGCAGCGTTCCAGGCATGGACTCTGATTGGCTGATGGGGGAACGTGGAAGTCAGAAGGGAAAAGTGCCTATTACCTATTTGGAGCTGTTAAATTAAGAGGAATTGAGAGTTGTTGGAACCAAAACGGAGAGGTATGGTGAAATCCAGCTGTGCTGCGTAACATATGCAGCGTTTGACGTCTTGTGCGGCTCATATGCAACAGTATTTCATTGGACGTGACGTCTTAAAGTCCCAGTTTGGGAAGAGGTTCTAACTCAAGGACTGTTTACAAATGAATTAATGCAGAATATTTAAAAACAAACAAACAAACAAACAAACAAACAAACAAAAAGCCTTTGATGTGATTACCGCCAACATGCCTCCATATTAATATACAAAACTACAAAAGTGACTTATTTGAGTTTCTACATGCGTTTACAAGAGTAAAGTATTAAGACTGATTGCCATTTTAATGGATTTTAAAAGTGGCTTTCTTGTACATGAACTCATTTCAGCATTTCTAGTACGTTTTATAAGATTTCATGTAGAGGTCAAAATATGCCATAATTTATTTTCAGGGTTATTCTGCTTGGGTGTAGCTGACATTTGTTATTATCTGATGCAGTTTACATTTTTCTTTATTGCATTTGAGCACACAGAAAATGCTTTATTTGCACGCAGATGGCCTTTTTTGTTATGCATTATGAAACCGTGTCCTTTATATTTGCAGTGTTAAAAAAAGCACATGATCCAGTTATTCATTTCATAATAAAAGCAGCATCTCTTTACTGATAATTGTACTTTTTTTATATACCCATGTGCCTTACAATCGTCTTAAGATTGATGTTTTTAGATTTGTTTAAAGCAAAAAAAAAAAAAAGCCTTGTTGAGCAGTTGATGACTGCTAATTTGACACATTGTGCCTCCTATTTAATATTAAGCACAATTTCTTAGTCTACTCTGATGTTGTATTATAACTAAAAAAGGTTCTCTAACTGCATACATTCTGTGATTAATACCATAGATTTACAAACCATGTTTTCATTACTGAATAAACCAATTGTGTAGACTTTTTACACTCCTGTGGTTTTATTTTTGTTTGTCTCATTGAATGCGTATGCTTGGTATGCTCTGTATGCCTGGAATATATCATATATCCTGCAATGTATTTAACTTTTCACTATATTATGATGAATGAAGCAGAAATATCTTTTATCTGAAGCAATAATAACTTCCTCCATTTCCTGACAAGTTAAATCAATTTTGTGAAACTTTGATTTTATTTAACCTTTTGTTATTATTTAAAATAATAATTATTGTTGTTAACTTATTTGTATATTTAATTTTATTCATCTAAATTAATTAGTTTTTAATTTTATTATTATTATTATTTACCATTTTGTCACCTTAGAATTATAAGGTTCTGTTTGACATTTTTGTCAAATTTGAGTTATTCACATACAGTATGCTTATTATATGACAACTTATTTACATGATGTGATGTTTTTTTTATAAGTTGTTTACATTTTAAGACTTTTTAATTAAAAAAAAAACTAAAAAAAGGTTTTCATCTACAAAGTCGAACGTTAGCTTGGCTCTATAAGGTTTTTTTGTGAGCCAATCAGCGTTTTGAATGCCCGCACGAGGACGAATCAGAATCAGCTTTATTTGTCATTCCACCAGATTGCTCCACTGACAGCATTAAAGACCAAAAAGAAACTCAAAATCAGTCCAGTAAATAAGGCTGCACCACACAAAATTGAGAAGAAACCTGAAACTGAAAAGATGTGTGTAAATGTGATGATTTAAAAGCATTTTTGGACATTGATGTGAAATGTTACATTGCTGAAAAAAAGAAACGGTTATTAAAAATGTATATATTAAATGAAAAATATTTATATTTGTGTATAAATATTCAGTATAACATTTTTCAGTGTTTATTAAACTCATTTGCTCATTGTCTATTTTCTTTCAAAATCTTTAAATGTGATCTTAAGCCTTGACGGGCATTTAATACTTTAATAAATTAATTAATTAATTAATGTGGTATATAATTCAATATCATTCAATAATTTATATAAAGCACATAATTCAATAAATATTACCATATTCATTACATAAAATGAACAGCTGCACTGGACAAAATATTTAGCACAGCCTTGTATGCTTAATTAAAATAAAAAAAATAAAAATCATCCTAAAACATTAAATAAATATTATGGAAAGCAAATATTTTACTTTCTCAAGCATCAACATATTGTTACAACACCAATATATACATACATACATACATACATACATACATACATACATACATACATACATACATACATACATACATACATACACACACAATTTATTATAAGTGAGATTTTTACAATTTATTAGCCATGCTTTTAAATTTTTTTCATTTTTAAATATTTCCCAAATGATGTTTAACAGGGCAAGGAAATTTTCACAGTATGTCTAATAACATTTTTTCTTCTAGAGAAAGTCTTATTTACTTTATTTCGGCTAGTATAAAAGCAGTTTTTAATTTTTTAAAACCATTTTAAGGTCAATATTATTTGCCCCTTTAAGCTATATTTGTTTTCGATAGTCTACAGAACAAACCATCGTTATACAATAACTTGCCTAATTACCCTAACCTGCCTAGTTAACCTAATTAACCTAGTTAAGCCTTTAAATGTCACTTTAAGCTGTATAGAAGTGTCTTAAAAAATATCTAGTCAAATATAATTTACTGTCTTCATAGCAAAGATAAAATAAGAAATGAGTTATTAAAACTATTGTGTTTAGAAATGTGTTAAAAAAAAATCTCTTCGTTAAACAGAAATTGGGGGGGGGGTTGGATTAACGGGGGCTAATAATTTTGACTTCAACTATGTGTATATATATATATATATATATATATATGTGTGTGTGTGTGTGTGTGTGTGTGTAAATATATATATATATATATATATATATATATATATATATATATATATATATATATATATATATATATTAATAATTCCAAATGGAAAATGACTTTTCAGAATTAGAAAGTGTTATTTAGAGTACATTTAGGGTCTCTGTCATGTTAATATGTAAAAAAAGAACTGTTAACAGGCATATTGTTTGCTATATGGAATGCAAATACTAAAGCTCAAAATCTCAAAATCATTTAGAACGCAGATAGAACCTTCTCATTCCAAGGTGAGGATTTGTATTATTTAATTGAAAAATTCACCTTACACATGCACACATTTGTTTATGCATTTAATTATTTGTTTACTTTTTTATTTATTGTACATATTTTTTCACGTTTAATTGTGTTTTTCTAACAAAATAAATTGATAAATCCATTAAAAAACTTTTTTTAGTTGGTACTGTATAGATAAAACTGTATTATACATCTGACCGTGATATATTTAATAAATATGGTTTAAAGATTACTTGATACAAGTTTTGATATAAATAATATTTGACAAATATTGCAGTGTTATGGATAAAAATCCATATTATATTTTTATAATACAATAATAATTTAATAATCATATTTAATAATAAAATATTCCCTTTATAAATATTTATTTTTAAAATTAGTGAATATAAATGAGAAAAAATGGCTTTAGTTTACAACATCCAGTTTTTAAAGATGGCAAATTAAGTAATTAATTTAGCATTAACACTAGCATATTTTATGGTTGTGCAATGCTTTCAATCACACATACTGTTTTTATTTATTTATATTTTATTTTTTTTAATACTATTATTAATAAATACAGTTTCATAAAATATGACAGACAGTCAGCAGAGGTCAGGCTTTTCATTCTGTAATAATTTTTGATTTTTAAATAAACATTACAGTATTTTAAAACTGGAAAGAACCTTAAAGTGACACGTAGTGAATATGTGCATTTCTCCTTCCATTATTATTTTAAAAACATTCCATAGAACAACTGTGCTTTGCTTAAAGTAAATCAAGAGTCACTACCTACACTGTAAAAAATGCTCACACACACACACACACACACTCGATTTGCGTTGGGACAACAACATATAAAAATTAAGTTCACTTTTTCCAAAACTAAGTAAAAAATAAAGTTGACTTAACTCAAAATTGTAAAGCAACTTGCTGCAGAGCTTTTTTTGAGTTGACTTAACTTTCAACCCAAGTACTGCACTTGACTCAATTTAAGTTGAGTAAACTCAAAAAAATCTTTAAGCAAGTTGCCTTAATATTTTAAGTTGAGTTAACTTTTCTTACAGTGTGGATTGAACATAAATCAAGTTCTCCCAAAAACTCAACAAATGTGTTGTTTCAGCTCATTTTAAATAAGTAGTTTGAACAAACAGCAAACATACATATATATATATATATATATATATATATATATATATATATATATATATATATATATATATATATATATATATATATATTTGTGTAATTTAAGTCACTGATAAAACGTGCATCATTATAGACATTAGTCAGCCTGCTGGTGTTGTTATCATGTGTAAGGCGCGCGGATGGTCAGTGAGCACGGGGAGGGTTAAGAGGAAGTTGTGCTGAACAGGCTGTTGACTTCCTGTGCTGCTGTGGCTCAGAGGCTCATTCTTCATGCTTGTTACTCAGCTTCACATGCCGAGAGGACACGTTCAGTTCCTTCCCGAAAACAGCACTGAAAGAGACGATCTCTCAATAGATCTGCTCTCCTACGCTAAAACTCCTGACCTGCTTAACACTGGCACTACTTGTTAATTATAGAGCTAATAAACACCTGTGCTTTCTAACATCAGCGTTTAGGATTCAGTGTTTACATATGTAGAATATTTATATGAATTCTTTTATATTTATTTAATATGATATCTACATTTATATGTATATATGTTAATGTGCGAATATAAAATATTAGTATTGCTGTTTTTATCATTAGCAGTAGTACATAAAAACATTGTGAAATTATTTTGATAATCAAATGTTTCTGTTTAATAAAATTATATCAAATTTATAGGGATGTCCGGATCCGATTGTATAATCAAGACTTGGACTCGATTGGAATCGGACGTTACCTCTCAATTAGGACTCTCTCTCTCTCTCTCTCTCTCTCTCTCTCTCTCTCTCTCTCTCTCTCTCTCTCTCTATATATATATATATATATATATATATATATATATATATATATATATATATTCACAGAAACAGCAACACCTGCTGCATGACATCACTTTGTTGCAGAGACGCTATTGGTTAAATGCTGGCAAGGTAGAACATCGAAACAGCTTGAAGCGGAAATTTTTTTTATTATGCTTTAAACAACATATACATGACAATATAGTAAACAAAACAATGCCAGGGTGATAGAAAGTAAACGATAACAACAATACATAAAATAAAACAAACATAAAAATAAGAGTATAAATACTTAACTAAAATTCTCACAAATATAAATAAGCAGGACCTTTAATCAAAAATATTGAAACTAGAGCAGAGTTGGACAGTTTTAACGGCCTTTCGATTAGCACTATGCTGAATAGTGCAAAAGTAATTTTTCAGTTCCTTATAAAACACAGTAAAACAAGTTTTTTTGTTGGAAAATTTACACTTATGAATATGAAACTTAATTAACAAAATAAATAGGTTAATAACAAAAGCTTCATTATTCAAATTATCACAATTAAAATATCCAAAAATTACATTTTCATAATGCAGATGGAAATCGCAAGTTTGTCTGGAGGTATTATAAAGTTGATGACGACAACATTGCCATAACAAACTGAGAAATGTAAACACTTGGGATTGCCTGCCGGAGTGCCGGGTATAAAGTTGAGGTGCTCTTTGTTTTTATATTAGATGTTTTTATATTTACTGTTGCACTAAATTCCAAAATTGAAGAGTTGATGTTATTTATTACTTGATTGTTCAAGCTACTCCACAGAGGTGCTCTTTGTTAACAGAGTTGTTGAATGTTAAAATGAGGTGAATTAAATAAAAAATAAGGAACATTCTGGATCTGTTTCTTCGCTCTTCTTTGTTCTTTTTTATGTATTACAGATGTATCGGATCAGAATTCGAAATCAGTAGATA